AGGGCGAGCATGTTGGTGGGATGCGGATTCGAACCCGACGGCCCTCAGATTGTGAGTCGAGCGCCTTATCCACCTGGCCCATTGCCGGGCACTTTCCACTGTAACGAACACACGTTGATTGACGTTGACGTGTACACCAGTGCAAACTAAAATATTTAGTCTTATTTTATCTTATAATATCATAGATGACGTTTTAATTAAACACACAGCATAGATTCCTCCACATATATATAATCTAAACGAATAGATTCTTGGGCCTGTTTTCACGAAGAAATCTTAAGTTACTTCTTAAGAGAGCACACAGGATAAAATTTAAGAATTTCGTAAGGTATTTGCAAAACTGTTTTACTTTGCTTGTTTTTAGTTAATCCCAAAGCTACACGGGTATCGAAATCCGGTTTTTAGCGTTATAAACCTTAGACTTACCGTTGTGCCACTAGGAGGCAACTATTTACAAAACTGCCTTGACTAAGAACGGCTGAGACAAAGATTAAAAATAAACATGTTCAGAATAATTGATGTGAAGTGGAAGATCAATGAGAACACCTAATCATATTTTCAGGCGGATATAAGCGTGTGAGAGGAGCTGGTATAATCTTGGACTAAGATAGAGCAAAGCGAATAAAGGGACATTGGGCCGTCTCCGACCGAATTTACATTAAAAGTCGTGGCACTCTATATCAACATCATATAAGTTTATGTACCGACAACAAACCGACCAGAAGAAGACCGTGAAAGATTTTACTTGGAATTACAAGCCAACTCTCATTTCAAATATCAAGACATCGTAATTATACTAAGAAACTTCAATGCAAAAATTGGAAATGATGATATTGTAGGATCATACAGGCTATAAGCTAGGGATATAAAAGGAAAAATCTTATAAAATGGGCAAAACCCAAGAGATGATCATTAGAAACACAGAACTGTCGAAGAACGCTAGAAACAGAAGAAGCGGAAAATCATGACCGTCAACGCGTGCATGCAGGCGTGACACTGGACAGTGATCTTAAAATCAGAAATGTGTGGCAGTTTTAAATCAACACGAATGATAATTTTAATTTGATTGAATGTGTACAAAATGTCTAATATTTTATTAATTACACTTTGGTACCCATTTTAACAAGTAGTTTTGTTAATTAAGAAAAATTAATAAGGAAAGTAAAACCCTATAAATCATAGAACACTTCATCAAGACGCGAGATTTTCAATCATCTCTATAAGGATCACCTTTCCATTTTTTTCAATTTACAAAGTATCTCACTTAAAATAATTTTAATGTATCAGTGTAATTTATACGAAAATAAAAGGTTTACACGGAGACCATGTTTGTTTTTATCTCAAGACGCTTATTTACTTATGTCAAGGTAGGAAAAAGCTTAAGATGGTTCTTAAAATAAAAAAATATATCTTTTTTAAATTATATATATTAGGAACACCTTCTTTCCTTAT